CTCGACAAATTGGAATAGAAAGAAATTTCTTCTATATAATAAAGAGCATCTACAGAAAGCTACATCTAACTACTAAGTAACAGTGAAAGACAAAGATTTTCCACTAAGCCCAGGATCAAGGCAAATATACCCACTTTCACCATTCTTATTCAACATGATAATATAGTGTAATCAGTCCAGAAAAAGAAATAATAGACATGGGTATTGAAACGGAATAAATAAAACTGTCATTTGTGTGATTATATTATTATCTACGCAGAAAATCCCAAAATAGCTATAAAAAAGCAATTAGAGGTGGGGCTTCCCTGGTGGCGCAGTGGTTGAGAGTCCGCCTGCCAATGTAAGGGGACATGGGTTCAAGATCTAGTCCGGGAAGATCCCATGTGCTGTGGAGCAACTAAGCCTGTGCGCCACAACTACTGAGGCTGTATTCTAGAGCCCGCGAGCCACAACTACTGAAGGCCACGCCCTGAAACGGGAGAGGCCACCGCAATGAGAGGCCCACGCACCACAACGAAGAGCAGCTCTCACTCACTGCAACTAGAGAAAGCCCGCGCACAGCAACGAAGACCAAGTGCAGCCAAAAATAAATAAATACATAAATAAATTTTTTTTTAAAATGCAATTAGAACTCATCACTGAGTTTAGGGAGGTTGCAAAATACAAGATTATATACAAACATCAATGGCATTTCTATATACTAGCAAGTAGCAGTTGGAAATTTAAAGTTATAGATATACTATTTACAATTAAATCCAAGAAAGGGGAAATACTTAGGTATAAATCTAACAAAATATGTATGAGACCTGTATGCTGGAAACTACAAAACAGGTGAAAAAAATTAAGAACTAAATAAATGAAGTGGTATACCATGTTCGTAGATTTAAAGACACATTTTTTTTTTTAACATCTTTATTGGAGTATAATTGCTTTACAATGGTGTGTTAGTTTCTGCTTTATAACAAGGTGAATCAGTTATACATAAACATATGTCCCCATATCTCTTCCCTCTTGCATAAAGACACACTATTATTAGCATGTCATTCTCTCCAAACTGATCTATGGATTCAACAAAATTCCAATAAAATTCTCAACAAATTTTTTTGTAAAAATCAGTAAGCCTAATCTAAAAACTATACAGAAACAACTAGAATGGTCAAAACAATTTTTAAAATATAAAATTGAGGGCTCACCTGATTTCAAGACCATAACGCTATAGTCATCAAGACAGTGTGTTATTAAAGAAAGAATACAAATGTAGATTAATGGGAAAATATAGAGTCCAGAAATAGACCCACACGTATATAGATAATAGATTTCTGACAAAGATATCAAAGCAAACAATGGAGAAAGTATAGTCATTTCAACAAATGGTATAGGAATTATTAGTCACCTACATGGTGGGGGGAGGGCTTAATCCACACCTTGCATCATATAAAAAAATACCTTAAAATAGATCATAGCTCTAAATGCAAAATCCATAACTTTAAAATTTCTAGAATAAAACACAGGAAAAAAAATCTTTCTGACCCTGGGTTATAGAAAGATTTCTTAGATATGATACCAAAAGCACAATTCGTAAAAGAAATACTTGATAAGGTGGATTTCATTTAATTAAGAATCTCTGTTCTTTGAGGGACATTGTTAAGAGAATGAAAATTCAAGCCACAAAACTGGGAGAAAATATTTTTAAAGTACATTCCTCATATTCAGAATATAAACATAGTTCCCAAATCTCAAAAATAAGAAAACAAACAATTCAATGAAAGTGGGCAAAATATTTGAAGACCCTACAAAGAAGTCATACAGATTACAACTACATGAAAATATGCTCAGTGTCGCTAGTTATTAGGGACATGCAAATTAAAGCCAAATGGGATGTTAAAACCTATGAAGGGTCTACGATTTTATCCTACTTGCATCTAACAAGTTTGCCTGCTACTGTTTTATAGATGTTGGCAGAGATGCAAGACTTCTGGGTTAGAGACAAAGGACAATTTACTACTCACAGTACCTCCAAGTACCATGGGGGTAATGCAGAGGCTTGGCCCAGATAGATTCCGTGCGTGCAATGGGTTTATGTCGCCAGGGAACACCAAGCTTGGAAAACCTCTACCATTTGCAAGCAAATTTGCCTAAGCTTTGCCCTGAAGAGAGACATTAACTTTATTAGATTGGACAGCAAACAAATATCCCCTGTGCTCTGGAGGGACACACTATCTTCCAAGGCTGTCATACAAACACCCTTGAAAAGATAATCCAAAACAAAAGGCTGTTTGTGGCTCTGTCCTGCTCATAGGACATGCAAGACACCGATGGAGAATTATCTCCCAACCTGAGTTATCACCACACACCTATGAGAATGGTTAAAAAATAATAATAATAATACCACAAAGTGTTGGTGAGGATATGAGTGACTGGAACTCTCATACATAACTTTTGAGAATGCAAAATTGTACTCTGGAAAACAGTGGATTTTTTTTTATAAAGTTAAACATACACTTTCCATATGATCCAGCAATCCCACTCATAGGTATTCACCTAATTGAAAACATATTCACACGAAAACCTGTTTTGCAAGTGTTTATAGTAGCTTTATTCATAATGCTAAAAACTGGAAACAACCCAAATATCCCTCAACTGCTGAATGGATCAACAAACTGGGGCCTTCCTGCAATGGAATACTATTTAGCAATAATCAAAAAAAAAAAAAGCAAACCAGTGGAACACATGACAACACAGATAAATCTCAAGGGTGTTACAATAAGGGCATTATGAAAACAGCCAGCCTCAAAAGGCTACAGACTGCATGATTCCATTTATATGACAGGCTGGAAAAGGCAAACAAGAGAAAGAGAAAACATATCAGCAATTTCCAGGAGCTGGAGGTAGGGAAAAGGACTGGCCCCAGAGGGACTTGAGTGATAGAACTATTTCATACCTGGATGGTGGTGGTGGTTAGAAGACCACGTGTGTCTGTCAAAACTCACAGAACTGTGCACTACAGAAGGATGAATTTTACTGTATGTAAATTATAACTTTAAAAAGGGTGGGGGTCGGAGAGTTATATGTGTAAACTCTAGAATCAGACTACCTGAGCTCTGCCTCTTTCTAAATGTCAGTCTTGGGTAGAGTCCCAAATTCTAATCATCAATTTTCTCAACTGTGAAGTGAGAATAATAGTAGTATTTACCTCGTAGAGCTGTTAGCTTTCCTTGTTGTTCCATCAGTAATTATTATCTGATGTCCTGTTATATACCTAACATTGTGTTTGATAGTAAGGATACAGAAATGAATCTGACACGGCTGCTGGCTTCCAGAAGGCTACAATCTAGTGAATCAACATTTCCCGAATGAACAAATGAACACAATTGTTTAATTGCCATTAGATTATGACAACGATTACAAAAATTAACAGAAGCCAGTGTGAAGCATCTATGGAGCCAAATTCATGTTAATAATTTTAAATATAGTTCAACTTTAGCAAGAATTTTCTAAAATAGGAATAGAAATTTCAAGTCAAATCTAAGAAATCCTAATAGTAGTCCAGACATTTCTAGGATTCTCTCTATAGATAATTTTAAAAAGCTTGCAATTGCATTTATTTATAGTTTATCAGATTCAGAAAGAATATTAGGCTACCTTGGTTCACCAATTCATTCTAGCATTTAATACTTTAATTTGAGTAAGCATATCAAGAAAGCATTATACATATATGTGGAATCTAGAAAGACGGTACAGATAAACCGGTTTGCAAGGCAGAAATAGAGACACAGATGTAGAGAGCGGACATGTGGACACCAAGCGGGGGAAGGGGGAGTGGGATGAATTGGGAGATTGGGATTGACATATAAACAACAGCATATATAAAATGGATAACTAATGAGGACCTGCTGTATAGCACAGGGGACTCCACTTCACTATACATTAGAAACTAACACAACATTGTAAAACAACTATGCCCCAATAAAAAAAATTTTTTTTTAAGAAAGCATTATAAAAAGAATATGAAATTATATTTCTTCATTTACTAAGACTGTATGTACCTGGATAAAACATTCCTCTAAAAAGATAAAGCTAAGAGGAATCACTGAAAATGGATGAAGACACTAAGAAAGTATTCCAGAAAAGTCTGCTCCCTCCAACGAGAAGAGAATTAATGCGTTCACCTTTTACATTAAAAGATCTGAAAACCTGCATAAGCTATGTGCGCATTACAAACACACATCCTATATACACATCCAGCACCTTTCTCTGCCTATCATGTATCTCTCTGTCTCTCAATAAAATGGAATGTCCTTACTTCAGGCTTAGAGTAACAGAAGCGTGAGAAATTTATGCCAGAACATACTACAGCTACTTTTATAGAGTTAATTACATTTTCACCATATTCATTATGCATTTATTGAAGGCCCATTATATGCTCAGTTCTGACAGGATGAAGCTCTATAGGCAGTTTGTTTTAAATGTGTCCTTTCCATTCAAGGCTAGAAGAAAAGTGAGCTATTCTTATTCCAAAGATTTCCTATCTACTGTCATCTCACATCACGTCTCAGTACAACACTGTGAGAAGTGTTCTTGGAGTGTTATCAACTCAAAATTTTGCAACAAGTATGGCTTTTTGCACAGGATTTCACACTGAATAATATAGTAACATCTAGAGATTCCTAACCTAGTTTAAAAAAGAGAGAATATTTTAAAAGATGTTTTAAACAGTATGACATATGCACTAGGGGCTTCTCAAACAGAACCCACAGACTCGCTTTTCACCATTTCACTTGCTCTGAACTATTGTTTTGGAATATGGAGCCCACCAATGTGGATCTTCCAAAGTTTTACATATTGAAAATATTCCTAAGGATTACAACTCCCCTTAAGAAGCCAGTATGTGGAAAGGTATGAGACAAAAATAAAATTCAAATAACTAAAACAAATAAAAATAAAATGAGTAGAAATGTCCTTTGGACAAACCCATAGAAAATGATCACTGGCTAGCTTACCTTGCATTTTTCCATTAATGTTTTCTAAAATACCAGAGAGGTGGCTGTCAAAGCCCTGTTGAAGGCCACTCCTTTGCTTTTCAAGGTGATGTTCTTCCTTGGCAATAGAAGAAAGCACATGTGGTGGCTTTTGGTCACCAAGGGTCTGACTGGGCCACTGGGTCACTACGGAACAGGCGTCCTTTGCATGCTGGCTAAGTCTGAGGCTTGAACTTTGGGCAGAGTCCTGCAAATCACTGTTACAACAGGAGAAATGATCCACTTCAAGAAACAAGGAATTTATGTCCTCTTGACTCCGATTGCTTTGTTCTTCATCTTCAAAGTAAGTTTCCTGAATCTGAATATCATCTAAGTCCTGGTCTAGCTTGTCACTCAATTTAGAGTCTTGTCTGTTGAAGTTAACCAGCAAAGCAGATAACGTATCTCCTGCTTGCTGGAGAGCTTCATAAACCCAATATATCCAGGAAGAGAGAGGCTGGAAGAGGTTCTGAGCATCCTGAGACGCCATTGTCAACAGCATGGCCAACTATCTGATGTCTACAAGTCCACCTGTTCCGTTCCTTCAATACTCTGGACTTAATGTGAACTACAGAACAAGCATGATGAGAAATTAAATTGGAGGTCTCTCAATGGCTGTGAGTATTTCACTCTCAAAACTTCTCAGCTGAAACAGAGGAAAGAAATACTTACACCTGTTAAAGTTACAACCTCAGGCCCATCACCAGATTCCTACAATCAATGTCAAACACTATATGGGGACAAAAAGGGGTCATCATTGAAATCCTTAAGGCAGCTAAATAAAAACGACTGTAAAAGTCTAAAGGTATCAATAAATTGTTTCAATGCCTGTTCACCTCTGCAGACATGTGCAAAACTTCCATTAGCACTAATGGGCTCTATTCCTGTGGACTGAGAGAAGTCTATCCCCATAGACCGTACTTAACAGTGTAAAAAGGATAAATGAATCTTCATTAAGAGGCGGCCAGACATGACATTTCAAAATACAAGAAAGGTTGGATGCTTCATCTATGAATCTGCAGATCACAGAAAGCAGGCTAATAAGCATCTCTGCTTCATGACACGAAGATTCATCCTTTCAAAGGAAATGTGTGCCTGGAATTAAAAAGCTTTTAACAAATCTCAGAGCAGGATTTTATATTTTTATGCAATTTCTAGAAATTACACCTATTCTTGGGAAACAACCAACCTCTGAAAGACTGAGGGTGGCAAGTAGATTACACAGCTTATTGGAGACATGTCCAGAGCGTTTTGTTGCTTCTGTCTGTGTTCCAACTGCCCAAAGACAGCCCTCTACAACCTGTGAGACTCCTGGGAGACACCCCTTCCCACGAGATTCATAACCTGAAGGAGGCTCAGCTACAGGATGGCGACAGAGCAACAGGGCACAATGAACACTCCAGGGCTAAAGATCTATACTTTCACGGATATGCATGAATACACACAGATATACAAACATGTACACATATACCTGTGTATACATAACCATATGTTATGTGCATTATGTGTGTACACACTTATTGCCTTTACACTGCTCATCAACAGCTCAGGATGAATGTTATACATGACAGCAGAGCCTAAATTCCTGCTTGCACTTAATCACCCCATCTCTTTTATAGTAATAGCTTCCTTCTGACCAAATCTATCAGCAATCCTGTAAATTTCAGCCATCTTGACCTCAGGCTGCTACATGTGACATGACTGCCTACATCCTCCTAAAAACTTCTCTTTAGATTCTGTGCGAGCCACACATTGATTCATTCAATAAACAAATATTGATTAAATGCCTATTAAGTGCTGGGCACAATGCCAGGTAAAAGGTAACCCTGACGTTTCTATCCCCATGGAGCCCACATTCCAGTTAAAGGGAAACAGCTCTCTGCACTTTCCTGACGCTGAATAATTCATGTGTCTGTCTTTCAGGCTCTTCCTGGTCTAAACACCAACTACATATATGCAATCACTCATTGTCCTACAGTTTCCCCTCTTCCCCCTTAATACTCATCACCTGGGAAAGTTGACCCATCCATAAGTCTCAATTAACACTTTTTTAAAATTCTAAAATATACATCTCCAGCCCTGAACTCAATCCCTCTTTCCAGACTCGTGTCTGGTTATCTAAGCCAGTGGCTCTCAAACTCTGCTGTGTCAGAATCACCTGGCGAGCTAATAAAAAAACACAGAGGCCCAGGCTAGTTGAAGGAAAAAGGCTCTGGACCTTTGCATTTTTGTCAGGTTCCCCAGGTGATTCTGACAACCACCAACGTTTGAGAAATGCTGATCTAAGGAAATAGCTACACTGGGACAACTCACCAAAATCTCAACTTCAGCTCATCAAAACCTAGCGCATCACTTTTGCTACAACAAATGTTCAACACTCTAGACTCACATTTTAGTGGTTGTGAATTTCTCCCTTCAACCCTCCCCCTTTCCATTCCTTCCATCCCAAGTTCTGCTAATTTGAGGTCTATGAAGACTCACTTCCATTACATTTTGTATAGTTATCACCTTTCCCCACACTCGAATTTCCTCAGAAATTACATACCTAATTGGTTTCAGTCTCTGATCTTCCCTGGCCTCAATCCATCCTCTAGGTTTGCTCACCAAACCTGATATTGCATCGGGTTTATTGCCTGTCTCCTCCCCTAGAATGGAAATTCCATGAAGGCAGGGATTGTCTGTTTTGTTCTCTAGTTTATTCCCAGTGCCTGCAAGTATGCTGAGCACATAGTAAATGCTCAATAAATGAATTAACAAATCCTATTTAAAATTGTGCAAAAACGGTGTCTAGCATATAGTGTGTGCTCAAATGTGTTAAACTGATTAATAAAACCTACTCAGAACCGTGGAAAACATCTTAATGTTACCATACAAATCCCCTGCTTGGTTACACTGAAGAGTTCTTTCAATATTTGTTCCACCGCATTTCACCACCCACAGGGTTTTTTTGTTTGTTTGCTTTTCCTCCACAAATATTTTGCTTAAATTAATATGCTTTGGGGCATCCCAGACCTACAAAGTTCCCTGAAAAAACACTGTATCACTGTGCCTTAGGTACAAGAAACTTTTTAAGATAGAAATGACATATTTTCCTTAATAATCCAATCATCTTTTTTATTGTTCTTTTATACAGAGAAAACTTTTTTTCATATACAACCCAAAATATTTGAATCTATGCCAGCATTTTTTTTTTTTTTTTTTTTTTGTGGTACGCAGGCCTCTCACTGTTGTGGCCTCTCCCGTTGCGGAGCACGACGCGCAGGCTCAGCGGCCATGGCTCACGGGCCCAGCCGCTCCACAGCATATGGGATCTTCCCGGACCGGGGCACAAACCCGTGTCCCCTGCATCGGCAGGCGGACTCTCAACCACTGCACCACCAGGGAAGCCCTACGCCAGCATTTTCTTATCCAATCTTGGAACTAGTAACAACCCATGCTTTCGGTCTTGTGTCTCCATGTCTTCTGAAATCTCTGTCCATCAAACCCTCATGGCAATATTTTTTAAAATAAATCTTGTATAACTCCCCTAGTTTAAAAACAAACCAACCACAAAAAAAAAAAAAAACAACCTACTGTGGCTTCCTATTTCTTCTACTGCAAAATTTGAGCAATAGCAAACGTTAATTCACATTTGTTCACACAGAATTTTTAAAAAATTAATTTGAATGCCTCCAATTCACTACAGTCCTCACCTCTTCCTGCTGTTTATACCCATTTGCTTCACTCATTTCTGTGTAGCCTGCCTGACCCCTGGAGGCATTTAGTTTTCCAGTTCTACCCTGTAGGATAAAGTTTACATTCTTCACCATGGCAAACAAGAGGAGAGATGCTCAAAAAAATTAACAACCAGCATTGTCTTACTGCCCTTACTGCTGGGGGGGGGGGGGGGGGTGGTCCCTAAAGGCCTCCAGCTGGGTGTCAACTCTTTAACTGCTGAAGTACTAGCTGTGAGGAGGTCTGGGAGGTGAAACAGGACAGTGGGAGGGGTCTCAGATCAATGGCTATTTATCAACCAGCTTGGAACTATTTCAATATTTGCACAACTCACAGGGCCCTACCTTTTGTCCTCACTGAATGTCCAGCTATGTGTGAGCTGTTCCCACTAATACCACCCCACAGTGGGAACTCAGCCGTTCTCCACCACTCCTCACTCTGAAGTCCTATTCACCCATAACACTAACACACTAAGCATTTTCCAAAGTGACTGTGCTCTTTCCTGACCTCTGTTTCCTCTGCCCAAGGTGCCTTCTCTTCCTACCCTGCCTGGTAAAGACTTACTTATTCTTTAAAATGAAACTATTATGTTAACTCTTTATAATCAAAGGTGTGGCCTCAGGGTGCTTTGAATGTGCCTTTATAAGGTTTTACTTGTTGTGATAATTATTGGTCAATCTTTCTCTTCCAATGGACTCTGAGACCGTAAGCGCTGGGACTGTGTTTATACTTTATAGCTCCAGAACCCACACAGGGTAGGGACACTGTAAAAGTTTGCTGAGTGAACGAATGAAAATTACTAATGAAAACTTTTAATGCTAAGTAGCCCTCATTCCTTTGTTTTTCTTCATCTGTAAAGTAGATGACCTCTAACAGTTCCTTTCCACTTTAAAACCCAAGAATTTACCAGTGTGGGGCAAAACGCATTTTAATACTGAGGCTGGATGTAGTATTCAGCAGTAAGTCACCTTTTCAGGGACTGGTTCTTTACTTTTGCCAATAACCATTGTCAGATGATCTCAGAGTGATTGGAAAGAGACCAAATCTCAGTCTATATATGAAAGGTTGTCCAGTTGTTATATTCCAAAATAGTAAGACAAAAGGGCACCTACAACTAGAATCTGAAAAATTACCAAGCTAGCAACTCTAGAGAACTTTCATTTCATAATAAAGCAGTCTGAAGCCAAAAGGGCTAAGAGCTGGCAGAGTAACCATGGAGATACCTTTGCTGCATAGGTAAATTTCAACTTAATTGGTGGAACATGACAAGTGTAATACCAGTTATATACCTGGTATCCTTGTTTTCTAAGTGGTAAGAAAGCCCCCAAAACTAAGTTGATTCTGGGGCTCTAATAAAATTTTTTTAATAAAAAAAAAATAAAACCACATGAGAAATAAAGAAGAAAAGATGGTCTAGGTCCCTGGATTAGAAGAGAAAATACATATACAGTCTGTGGTAGCTGAGAGGGCTCATTATTTGAATTAAAATAGTTGATGAATTTTCATTAGTATGAGAAGTATAAAACAAAACAACAAAAAACGTGTATATGTGTGTTTAACATACAAGCGCCTACCACAAACATGACCAGGGCCTCTCAAAATACTTAGAATAAACTAGCAATCTAATAAAGAATTAATAACAACTGATAAATAAAGATGAAAGGAAAGCCACTGATAAATTCCTAGGGGCTATATTTCTTTAAATTTCGTTTTAATTAGAATTACATTTTAATTACAAAAGTGTTCAATTAAGGTCATTTCAAACACAGGAAATGACTAAACAGTAAACATTAGAGAGTTTTGCTTATGCATGGGGAAAAACTATCAAATTCCTGAGCCATATGTTTTCTCACATATTTTGATCATCCTGACCAAGGGTAATTGTGAACAGAGAAGAAGTGTACCATCCCCAGAATAATAGTGCCC